TTATGTTTTAAATAAATGCTGATTGGCCAATAGCCAGGCAGGAAGCATAGCCAGGACAATCAGACAAGAAGTAGAGGTGGGGCAATGAGAACAGGAGTATTCTGGGAAGAAGGAAGCTCTTTCTGTAGCCCTGTCCAGACATGGAAGAAGCAGAATGTGACCTACCCCATGATGGAGGTGGGTCTTGTATCTTATCTGTTGCTTTCATTGGTTAATAATAAAGAAACTGCCTCGGCCCTCATAGGACAGAAAATTAGGTAGGTGGAGTAAACAACAGAATTCGGGGAGAAAGAAGCTGAGTCGAGGAGTCGCCATGATTCTCCAGCTCCACACAGATGCAGGTTAAGATCCTCCCTGGTAAGCCAGCTCGTGGGCTACACAGAATATTAGAAATGGGTTAGAACAATATGTAAGAGCTAGCCAATAAGAGGCTACAGTAATGGGCCAGGCAGTGTTTGAAAGAATACAGTTTCCATGTAATTATTTCTGGGCATAAGCCTGCCATGCGGGCGGCCGGGTGCCGGGGACACAGCCCTGCCGCTGCTCCTATTTCAACAACCCCACAGAAAGACGTACTGAGCCATGTAGCTAACATAGATAAGAATAATGGGTTAATATAAGTTATAAGAGCTAATACAAAGCCTGAGCTAATGGGCCAATCAGTTTATAACTTATGTAAACCTCTGTGTGATTTTCTTTGGAACTTACCACCTGTGGGAACTGGGCAGGATAGAAACCCCAACAAACAGGATCTCATGTTACACTTTTTGTTTTTATTTATTTAACATTGCTTTCTATGTCCTGCCTTTCTATTGTCCCTGCTTCCCTCATTTCAATGAGTTACAATTCCCCTGCTTACCCTGAATATTTCTAATGGCACAGCAAATTCTACGATAGTTTTTCTGTTTTCAGGTTTGTGTTCATTGATGATTTGTTCATAGCTGTAATGAATCTTGCAAGACTCTGTTTTGTTTGTTTCTTTGTTTGTTAGTTTTTCAAAATAGTGTTCCTCTGTGTAGTCTCAGCTGTCTCAGACTTACAGAGATTATCTGCCTCTGCCTCTGAGTGCAAGAACTGAAGGCATGCACCAACACTGCCCAGCTCTTGCATGACTTTTGATGCTGCTACTGTTATGCTTGTTCAGGGAACTGAGTTTTTAAAGTAGTTGTTCTGTAAAAATATCCCCAAATGAAACCAAAAAGCAGATATAAACTAGTAATTGTGTAGATTGCAACACAGACACACAATAAATATGAATAAGCAGAGCAGCAGTACTGTTCCAGAGAAATCACAATTTCTCAACTGCTGAATTCCAAGACTCTGGAATAGATCATGAGACTGACCATAGGGTCAAGTTGTTGACCTGTTTGGCTATTGCCCACTTTGTCTCTATCCCCCTAAGAGCCTGGAAGAGAGTCTAGGATGGGCACTAGGGAACAGAGAACCTCCATAGCTCACATGGAGCCCCAGGAGGGGTGGGAGACTAGAGCGATGTTTCAGTAGGACTGTTGCTTGAACTGGACATTGTACCTCAGGATCAAAGCTGTCAGAAGGATCTGCCAGGCTTTCAAAAATAATAACAGTAGCCATTATTATTGCAGAAAGAGCAGAACTATCCAAGGTTTCTAACGTACAGATTCTCCATGAATTACTGCTCATACCCTTAGGGAAGTTTGCAAGATTTGTGTGTTGGTTACATTGAATCTTTAAGTCTATTCATTTTGATTCTTTCCTATATTCCACCCTAACTGAAGGTACCATTCCCTCCTCTTCAACCTCCCCTCTTTCTCTCCTTTCCCTCAGATCTATGCCCCTCCATTTCCTGGAGGCCTCCCAGGGATATTAACCAAACCCAGAATAATATGCTACATTAAGATCAGACACACACCATCATGTCAAGGCTGGATGAGATAACCCAGTAGGAGAAGGGTCCCATATGTAGGCAAAAGAGTCAGCAACTGCCCCCATTCCCACTGTTCTGAATTCCACAAGAACACCAAGCTACTCAATCATAATGTATACTCAGGGATCTTAGGTGAGAGCCCTATAGGCTCCCTGATCTCTGTGAGCACCATGAGTCCTTGTCAATTGTTTCTGTGGGCCAAGTTCTCTGGTTGTCTCTGACCCCTCTGGTTCCTCTGATCTTTCCTCCCCCTTCTTCGCAATACTTCTTATTCTTGTTCTTGATGGATGTTTCTCATTTGATGTGTGTGTGTGTGTGTGTGTGTGTGTGTGACATGAGGAAATGGCACAGCTCAAATGTTAGAGAGAGAAGAGGGTTATGACATGCAGCCAGAACCCAAGCTTTTTAGAATCACCCTTTCGTTACCGGTATTGAAATATTTGCCTGAAAACAGGAAGGGCAGCAAGACAACACACCTAGTTGAGTATCAAAACTGCTATAATGAACCCAAAACCTCCTCCTTCAGCATTTTCTCTGTAACTACTGCCATGATAAGCCAGGGGCCTGATAAGATATGTGAACAGCTAATGCTCACTACATAAAAGAATGAAGTCCCTAGAAAAACAGCCTTGCTCATGGGTGGTTTCTTCTTCCTCATTCTTAGGCCCATGCTGTGATGACCCTTCTATTACCTCTTCACTATGATTCCTGCCTAAATTTATGACCATCAGTCTGTGCTCAGCTGGGTGCCTTCAGTCTCTAGGGTACTTTGAGCTCCTGTCACCCCCTGCTGGGTACCCAGGTTGGAGGGGAGATTTCTTTTTGTTTGCTGAGTCACCTCCTTGCTTCTTTATCCCCCTGCCTTGTTAAGTGTTTCATCTCCTCTTTATAGTTTTGGACTATGGCTTCTTCTTTGGTATTGTGACTGTGAGGGTTTGGAGAGAGGAAAGGGAAGGTGAAAATGATGTTAGAATATTATAATCTCAAAAATAAAGGATATGATTTTTAAAATTAAAAATAGAAAAAAATCTCATTGAAATTAATGTTTCTGACACATGGGAAATTTTATAAAGAACATTTATGAATCTGAGCTTTCTTTAAAAGCCATTCCATGAATTTACCTATGCCTTCTGCTATGACTCATTCTGCAAGTTTGTCCATACTTATTTTTGTTCCGTTATATATGTGTTTTATGGTTTACCATATGATATTTCTTTGAACCACTGTTAATGTAAGTCTGCATTGTTTTTGTTGGTGTGACTTAGCCATTGCAAAATTGATACATATATCAAAACATCAATTATACTCCATTAATGCATATATTTTTAAAAGGCTTATTTTTAAATTATGTCTATTTGTGTGTGTCTCTGTGTGTGAATGTGTGTAAATTTCCAGTGCTTATGTTATCTAGAAGAGGATGTTGGATCCCCGGGAGCTATAGATACAGGTGGCTTTGAGCTGCTAGACATGGGTACTGGGAACCCAATTAAAGTCCTCTGCAAGAGCATCCCCTATTTACAGCCACTAAGATGTCTCCAGCCTCTAATACGTGTAATTTCCAATTTTGAGTGAAAGAAAAAATTAACAGCCATATTGCTTAATTCCTTATCCTTGTGGCTTTTGTGTTTTAAATTTGCTATTGATTTCTGGCTACATTTCACATTGTTCACCAGAGCTACTCTGGTTACCCTAATATTTAAAAATTGATTGAAGCTTCTGTATCCTAACAAATGGCTTATCACAAAGAATGTTCCAGTCATGCTTCAGCAGGATGTGCGCTTTCTGTTATTGAGCAGAACATGGTTGGATACAGTACACCTTGTCTCTGTAAACTGGGTCATGATTTCATGTGTTCTAATATTTTCCCAACATTACAGGGTTTATTCCTCTCTCTCTTTCAGACAAAGGCTTGCTAGCCACTGTCCCTTCCTCTAAGAGTGTGTCTCATTGCTAAAATTGAACTAGCCCCTCTCTCTTCTGTGTGTATACATTATTGTATGTGCATGCAGGCATGTGTGCACGCATGTAGAGCCCAGAAGACAACACTGCTTGTCTTCTCCAGTCTCTCTCTCTATTTTGTTTTTTTGAGACTGGATCTCTAGTTCAATTAAGAATTTATGATCTGATTGGACTGGGCTGTCTTCAACCCCCTCCCAGCATTAGGGTGACAAACATGTGCCACCAGGCCTGACTTTTGATGGATGCTAAGGATCCAAACTCAGGTCCTCATGATTGCTTTACAAGCACTTTTTAAACTGAACCATCTTTTCCCACTCTCTTCCTCTTTCCATCAGTCCCCCAGGAACCATCTACAGCATGTAGGATTGAAGTTTGCCACCAGGGAGGGCTTGCAAAGCAGTTCCCAAAGATGCCATCTCAATGCCCTGATACCCCTGCTCCCTCTTGGGTCCAGCTGACATCCTAAAAATAAGAAAAGACGTCCAGCTGATGTATCCACCGACATCGAGATTGTCCATTGCTCAGCTGTCCACTCATCAGATTTATACTAGTGCCACTGGAGCACATGCTTCTAAAACTCTTTACTGGCTCTGATCCCAGATTTGTAAGCAAACATTCAGCCTTTGGAAACTAACTCATGGCAGAAGATGTGGTCGGGTGCATCCCTGCAATGTGCACTCACACACACACACATTCATGAATCAGCACACACTCATGTCAATGTACTATCCCTAAGATTTCCTGACCACCTCTGAAAATGTCTTTCTCCACCAAGGACCTCATTAATAGGCCTGATTCCAGTTCTTCAATGGATTCTGAGTTGAACACAATTCCCTTAATGAACAAGGCTTGAGTGATCAGTTCTAAATATGTAAATCAAAGTGTAGGTGAGTTGATGGTGAAACCATGTTGGTGGCCCACCCCAAGCTCTTGAATACCTCTGGGCAGGATGATGTGGTAGAAGACTGAGTTCTTGTTGCTTTATCTAATGTGTGGTGACATTTGAAAATCTGCCCAAGGACAATGTACACGGATATTCATTCAAGTATTACTGCTCTTGGGGAATCGGTGAAACTTCCATAAACTTAGACCAAGGAAACATTGTAAGGTCAAGAATGTGCCTCAATAGTAATGTGAATTATCTTCCCTTCCAATGCATTTATGAGTTTTGAGATCACAAGACTCTTTAGCATAAATTTGACTGTAGCATGGAGGGGGCCTGCTTGTTCATCCCAGATGCCTAGCTAGCTTAGCCTCAAAATAATCACACAGAAACTGTATTAATTAAATCACTGCTAGGCCCATTAGCTATATCTTCTTATTGGCTAACTCTTACATATTAATTTAACCCATTTCTATTTGTATATTGTATACAATATACAATTTTTGTATTCATTTGTATATTGCCACGTGGCAGTGGTTTACCAGCAAAGCATGTCTATTTCCAGTGGATCCATGCTGTCTTTCTTACTCTGCCCTTCTTTCTTCCAAGATTCAGTTCTGTCTCTCTGCCTACCTAAGTTCTGCCCTATCAACAGGCCAAGGCAGTTTCTTTATTCATTAACCAAGGAAAGCAACACACAGACAGTTGGACCTCCCACACCACTTGACAAAGAATACTTATTCTATAAATAATGTCTACTTTATTATTACTAATATAATTATTACTATTTATAACATAGGATAAATTTACCCTTTCTCATGCTCTACCTTTGAAGTGGCAGTCTGTCTTCAGCAAGTCTATCATGTCCTCTCTCTCCTGTTCCCCTGATCCCTTCTAAGTCCCAATCCCCCACTAGCCCGATCTCCATCCTTTCCTTTACCCTTATCCAGCGCTGGCTCAACGGGACAAGAAACTCATGGTGTAGTTTGGTGGGATAGTGGAAAAACCCAGGAGTCTAGGGGACACATCAATATCCTGGGGTGCCTGTGGAGACCTGAAGTGGAAATTTTGCAGGATGTTTGTGAGAAAGAGAAAGAGCTCCATTCTAGCCAGTCCTTCTCCAAAGCAGTTCCGTTTTCCTAAAGAGAAGAGACAGGGAGTATGAAGCCAATTCTTTACATCCCTTCATAGCAAATCCCTGGCTGTATTCTCTCTGGGAGGAAAGGCTGAGACCTTTAAAGAAGGCTCTAATCTCTGAGCCTCAGTTCAGGCTGTAACAATGAGAAATGTGGATTCCCTTCTCTAGAGAGGTGCTCTCCAGTATGGATGCCATGTAGCAACATCCTTCTTTCTTTCCTTCCTTACTTTCTTCCTTCTTTCCTTCCTCCTTTCCTTTTTTCTTTCTTTCCTTCCTCCCTCCCACCCTCCCCCCTTTTCTTTCTTATTTTTTCTCTTTATTCTTCTTTTTTTTTTTTTTTTTGATTTTTTGAGACATGGTTTCTCTGTGTGACAGCCCTGGCTATACTACAACTCACTCTGTAGACCAGGCTTCCCTTGACCTCACTAAAATCCTCCAGTCTCTGACTCCTGAGTTCTGGGATTAAATTAGATAAGTGCCACCACAGGCAGCTGCAACCTCTTTCTATGAACTGGTTGTGTGACCTGAGAGTGACCTCTGACTTAGTTTGAGACTTCATTTCCCCTATCTATCACTACAGCTTGACCATCAATTTCATGGGTCAGTGCTTGGAAAATATGGGAGTTGCAGCCAAATGGCTGGGAGGTTGATCCAAGAGAATCTTCCAAGATGGAGAGATACGGATGCGTTATCTTTGTTGGTATGAGCAGTGGCCTGGCACTAGACAGTGACCTCTTACCTAAAGAAAAGGGCACAAATGCATCACTCTTTTTAAACTGTCCCTTGTCATCCAGGAAGTGGTTTGGGTTGAAGTCTTTGGGGTTGGAGAAGAACTTGGGGTCCTTCAGCACAGAGCCCAGCATAGGAAACACTTCAGTGCCCTGTGGAGGAGGAAGGTTTGATTGATAATATAGATTTGGATGGGTGTCCTGTTGGCCCATAGGGGTGACATAAATATAATGTATGGGAGTTGAGGGGGTTTTCAGGGTAGGGCTTTGAGGAATGTGAGGTCATCATCCTTCAGACAGGAGATGTTATAGGAGACAGGATGAATGGGGTCTGTGGTCTGTGGTGGGAGGTTGAAGGATATGTGCTTCATGCCTCTCAAGTTAAGAACTGAAGAATATTGGATTTATGTACCTCTAAACAGGATGCATGACAGACATGTCACTCCTGTCTCTGACAGGAGATGTAGGTAAATTGAGTTTATGTCTTGAGACTTGATGATTGAAAGACATGGAATTGAAACTCCAGGGTCAGAACGTCTGGGAGAAAACCCAAGATATAGGAGATTCTGTGTAGAAAGATGGAGATAAGTGGTGGAAGAGAGAGCATGTAACTAAGAAAGTGAGAGAAGACTGGTGGTTTCTAATGAGGAAGAGAACCTGCAGGGCCATGTAGAAGGCTGGAGATTACTATAGGCTAGGTGAGTCAGTACCTTGGGGATGAGGAAGTCACGGAACTTGGTGTCCTTGGTGACCCTGCGAGCCAGGCCCATGGGAACTATGTCTCCAAATCTCTGGATCTCATGGATGACAGCCTCTGTGTAGGGCATCTTCAAGCGGTCCTCATATTTGGGCTGCCGGTTCTTGCCAATCACCCTGTCAATCTCTTCTTGTACTTTGGCTGAGAAGAAGAGGCATGTGTTTAGGAGTCCAAGAACCTTACCCTAAGGATGATAATGCAAAAGTGTAGTAATGTCCCCTCTGTGTGCATTGATTGCCATTAATGAATAAAGAAACTGCCTTGGCCTTTTGATAGGGCAGAACTTAGGTAGGTGGAGAGGACTGGTCTAAATGCTGGGAGAGAGGAGGCAGAGTTAGGAAGAAGTGCTGGAGCACCAGGAGACAGACACTGGGAATTTTACCCGGTAAGCCACTGCCATGTGGTGATACACAGATTAATAGAAATAAGCTAAATTAAGATGTAAGACTTAACCAATAAAAAAGCTAGAGCTAATGGGCCAAGCAGTGATTTAATTAATACAGTTTCTGTGTGGTTATTTTGGGGCTAAGCTAGCCGAGCATCTGGGACAAACAAGCAGGCCCTCCTGCTAAAGTGTAGAACTAGATGGAGGCCATTAAGCAGTGCATGACATTGTCAATCATTTTCAGTCATAGGCATTGTTGGACATGGTTCATATTAACTGGATCATAGCAGAATTATGTGAGAATTGTTTGGAAGGAGATTTAGGCAGGGTCTTAGGGACAGGGAAGTGGGTCCTTTGAGGTTCACTTAAGCAACATACAAGTTGATAAAACAGCTAGAGGCTGGTGCCCACCAACTTCTCTTTGTCTCTGGAGAGAAGGAAGTAGCTATCTAAGAATCCAGTTTCTTGAGAGAGCTTGAGAATATTGTTGATGACGAGAGAAGCATGTTTAGAATATACAATATCACCCCCATGCAGCCTTACCCTGTACATCTGGGTACTTCATGAGCAACAGAAAGCCATAGCGAAGGGTGGTGCTGACAGTCTCTGTACCACCGAAGAAGAGGTTCAGTGTCGTCCGCACTAAGTTCTTCATGGAGAACTCTGTATTGGGGTTCTTCTTCTCCTGTGGGAAGGGAAGAATTCACGTCCAACCCACTCCTTATGCTCTTGGTGCCCTTCTGTTTTAACCGCTTTCCCTGCCCTAATTCACTTCTCTTTGACCCAGAACAAGGAGAGAAGGGGGATTCTGGCTATGACAGCTTCTCTTCACGTTTTAGAGCTTTGGAAGTGATCCAGTGCCCTAATCTAGTGCTCTTCTGTCATTCATAATTTAGTTGATTGTCTGATCTTTAATGATCAATTAAATTGCCAGTTTTTCTTTAATGTGCATTTGTGTTTTACCAAGGGTGCTGGGTTCCCTGAAACTGGAGTTACAGGCACCTATGAGCTGCCTTGTGGGTGTTGTGAATTGAACCCAGGTCCTCTGGAAGAGCAGTCAGTGCTCACAAACACTGGGCCACTTTTCCAGCCCTCAGTATATGAGTTTTAGGCAACAGGAAACTACTTTTTAATTATAATCCTTAATATTCCCTAAAGAAATTTCTCCCCTCAACCCTCTGCACTTCAGAGTTCATGAAGTTTCTTCTTGACCAGACACCACACACCAGTAATCCCAGCCTCCAAAAAGCAGACTTGGGAGGATCAACCACTGGTTTGAGGCTTGCCTGGCCTACACAGCAAATTTCAGGATAGTCAGGTCTATATTAGCAAGATTCTATCTTAAAACCAACAATGACAAAATCTCCATATCTGTTCCAATAGGTAGTAGGTCACAGTAAAGCTCAGATCACACAGATGTAAACAGCCATGAGCACAGGCAGAGTCAAATGGTGTGTTAGCTGAAAGCACCAGCCCGAGTCAGTGAGGTAGGTTGCATTGCCTTCTTGCTCTGATATCAGAAAGTCACCTGTATTCACAGGCTGCAGCCTCCTCATTTGTAGAATGGGAGTCAAAGCACAACCTTTCTCGAGAGTTGTGGGTACTAAATATGTGAATAAAACTAAGCCTTTAAAACAGTGCCTGAAACATGACACCCTTGTGTACTGGCTGCTTTCTTAGCCTACAAACCTCCTGAGAACAATTGAGAGTAGATGGAACAGTGATGCTGAATGAGGATTATAGCCAGAGGACTGATGTGTTGTCCTCTGTTAACTTCCTCCTACCTGTCCCTGATTTCATCCTACTTGCCTTTGAACCTCCCATCATGCTCCCAGGCTTTAGGATTTACCTCCTGCATACGGATGAGAAAGGAATCAATGAAGTCCCTTGGAGAATTGGGGTCCAGGGTACTCTGGTTCTGTTTCACCTTCTTAGTTATAAAGTCTTCCAAACCCTGCATTTCCTTAAAGGACTGTTGCTGTGGCCCCGGCAGGTGCTTCATCACTGAAGAGAACATCTCGAAGAGCTGATTGTGGGAAGGGGATAAGAAGCTAAAGCAACTGTCACTAGACAAAACCCAAAATATGTGGCATCTGTCTTAGGATGAGGGATGTAAACATCTACTGTCCAGGAGTTTAGGCACCAGGTGAAGCTGTGTTGCAACAGACTTCTTATAGTTTAAGCCTGAGGACTATTGTCCAAGGTTTTAAGTGAGATGGATTCGAGGAACACATGCAGGTTTGGGGTGTTCAAGTGAGACTGGGGTGGGAAGCATCCAGTCTTTGGGTAGGAGTTACCTATATAGATGTTTAGGAGGTTGGGTAGGGGTTACCTATGTAGATGTTTAGGCGGTTGGTTACTTCAGCTGGGGACAGCTCTTCATACACTAATGGGGTTTGGATTGGTGAGTTCTAACAGGCTTTCCAACATTCAATGGCTGCTGGCTAGATAGTCACAATAGCTAAATTGTGCAATCAACCTAAGTGTTCAAAAGCAGCACAATGGAGAAGGAAAGTGTGATCCATATACACAACTGAATTATTCTTCAGCCATTAAAAACAAAGCTATGGCATTTTCAGGAAAGTGGGCCCACCTGGAGATAACTCTATTGAGCAAATTTAACCAGTCTTAGAGAAATAACTCAGTATTTTTCTTCATTTGTGGTAGACATATGCAAATATGTGTACATGTGTATCATTTGGAAGGAGAAGAGAAACTGTCTCAGGGGTCAAAGTGGACTAAAGGAGGAGGAGGTGTGAGCAAAGGGAAGATAAAGGATATGGGGGTGAATAGGCTCAGTGCACAATATATGCTTGTCCAAAATAAACAAAAAAAATAAGTATTTTAAAGTAGTGCTGATAGTCATGTTCACCTGCATTGCTATTAAAACTGCTGCAAGGAGGACCCCACTTAGATGTGTGAGTGAGCTGTGCAGGAGGACCTTTAACTGGGGTGTTTGAGGGACAGTCTGTGTAGAAATTTTGCTTAGAGATGCAGGGGGTTAGGTATTTCCATGGCTGAGTAAAGAGCTCATCTACATAGTCCAGTGGACTTGCTCCTTACGTTTTGCAGATGGCACATGATTTGAGTGACCTGGATTTTGCAGCATCAGGCACTTGGGCACTAAGAGGGGCTAGTGCATTCAGAAGGCCTCCCTGTAAGCACCTTGGTTAGAAAGTAAAATGAATTGTCCTGGTAATGTCTGCCCAGCTGAGATAGGTCTCTCTCTGTCTGTCTCTGACTTTGTCTCTCTCTCTGTCTCTCTGTCTCTGTCTCTCTCTGTCTCTCTCTCTCTCTCTCTCTCTCTCTCTCTCTCTCTCTCTCTCTCTCTCTCTCTCTCTCTCCATGTGTGTCTACTGCTGGCTCTGATTTCAGTTTAAGTTATTGAGACTGTATAGTTCAGGTGCAACTGTCGGACTACTTTGAAGGTACCTATTAAACGGGGGTTGGCAGTTTTGGAATGAGCTGGCAGCTGTGGTCTGGCGGCAGTAGGATAAGATAAAACAAGTTACCTGCCCGGAGGATGTAGCTGTGAACTGGAAGCTTCCCGTCATCATCTTCAGCAGTGACAAGAGCTCTTTATCCTCATAGTCAAAGCGGTCTCCGAAAACGATGGAGCTAATGACATTGGACACTGTTCTGCTCAGGTAGAATGTGGGGTCAATGAGAGCACCTGTAGGTAAGGAGGAGGACAGAGAGCGAGATGTGGGAGAAAGGCTTCCACTATGGGATAGCATCAAATTCTTTGTATCAGATAATTCAAAATGAGCATGCGCTGCAGCGCTGAGTCCTCCAACTCCGTCTAAACCTGGACACCAGGCCTCACAGAGGGACCAAAATAGTCTTCCCTAGCCTAGTTCCCATCCTAGATGTTGGTGCTGTTTTTCTAGGGTGTCTTCCCCTTGATTGGTCCTGAGAACTTGCAGAGCTCTGCTTACCATTTGTCTTCCGGAATGCCTCCAGGAGAAATACCGCTTCCTCTTGGATGCGCTCCTCGATGCCACGCTTGCCCAAACCAAAGTCCCTCAGTGTGGCAATGGAGAAGCGCCTCAGCTGCTTGGCGCGATCCCCGGTGCTGAAGACCAAGCCTGGAACGGAGAGTGAGGGGAAGGAAAGGTGGGAGAAGAGAGATGTGGCTGACTACTAACACCACCCTTGCTCTGTTCCCCAAGAGCGAGTTAGAGGACAGTAGCAAGAAGTAGACAGATGGAGAACAGATGCCAGAGGCGCAGAGAGAGAGGAACGGGGCACAGGCGAGAGAAGGGAGATTGGGGAGATCTGGGGGTGGATACAGTTGTAACACATTTATAATTGAGCTAGTGAAGAGAAGGAAATAGGGAGAGAGAACAAAGGGAGTCTGGGAAGAGGTGAGATTGCTGCCACGGATATTGAGCTTGGGAACAGATTTCTGTGAGAGCCTGGCAGTGGACAAAGAAAGCGGTCCAAAAGAAGACAGCATCCAGGGCAATTACAGAAGCTAAGAATAATGGAGTAGGGTGAGCAAAAACTCCAGAGCTCTTTAAAGGCACAGGATTCAGATGGAAAATCCCAAGAAGGAAGAGGAGGCATGGGTGGTGTGTGTGTGGTGGGGGAGGGATGTCAGGAGACACAGGCACAGAAAGACAGGAAGATTAGGAAACAGTGGGTCTCATACCCCTCACAGCAGAAGGCAGTGATGTGAATGGAAGAGTCTAGGAGAAGACAGAGAAAACTGAAGCCTTCCAATTGTTCCCTGCCACATTCCCATGCATATTGTCTCCCTCACCATAGCCTTTGAAGAGCCAGTCAAAGATGGGTTGTTCACCACGCCCACTGAATTCCTCAGCTTGATCCACCAGAGCCTCCTTGACTGCTTCCTGTCCACATAGTACCACAATTCGGCGAGGCCCCAGGTGGATGGTGAACACGGGACCATAGCGTTCGCTGATCTGATAGAGAAGGATGAGCAAAGTTAGAGGAAAAAGGTCACACCTTGATGACAGGTCTGGGGTTCATTTCTCTGGAGTTCTAACAGCTATCAGATGGGTCACCCCAAGATGTGGTCTCACATGCCTAGGAGTTGGTTGCTGGCTCTTCACAATTCTACCAGCCTAAAATTACTCCCCCTGGGGTCAATGCCCTACTACAAAGCCTCTTTGAAAACTGGGCCTCCCTCTGTCCACCATTCTACCCTTCGCCTTGCCCAGTGGCACCTTCATGAGGGAGTTGTATATCTGCTCTGTGTTCAGCTGAAAGTAGTTCCCGATGAAGGGCAGTGGGGTGGGTCCTGGAGGCAGCTTCCCTGAAAATTTCCTCTGCTTCCAGACAGACATGAAGACCAGGAAGAAGAGGAAGCCCAGCACAGTCACCAGGAGCAGTCCAGAGGCCAACATGGTGGCAATGAGGGTGACAGACAGATGGTGATGGCTGAATTGGTTTGCTTTTATACATCCTGAAGTGGAAGGTGGCCTTTGGCCTTGATTAAGCAACTGACTCGTTTCACTTCCAGACTACCATCCCTTAACACGCAACTAGCTTGAGACACAGCCAACAATTGAGGAGGAGGACGCCCCATGAGGGATTAATAGGGAGTGGACTGAATTTGTGACATCTGAGGATGAAGTACTCCAGGGCTATGTGTTACAGAGGAAAGGGACATTAGACAGTAGCCAGAACTGAATCCTTCAGAAAATTTCTATTGGAGACCCTTCTGAGCTCTGAGTGCGGGTTCTCCTGGGAAGGGACGAAAATGATGTGATATTAGGGTCTCATTGACTTGAAACAGGATGAATGGCTATGAATTTGGAAGTTCATTTTCTTCCTTGTTTGAAACAAGTTTTCACTATGTTATCCTGACTGGCCTGAACCTCAATATGTATATCACAGAAATCTACCTACCTCTGCCTCCTGAGTGCTGGAATTATAGGCCAACACCACTACCCCAAACTCTGGGAGCCTTTCAATGAAGAAAGTCATGGATTTAAGGAAGGGGAGACTTCATGGATATGGGTTGTTGATCTTGAGGCAAGAATAACTTTGGATGAGGAGTACCTCGGAGAAAGACATGGAAACCCCAACAGGATCTTGGTGTTAACACCTGTACCAAGGTGGGATATACTTTGGCTTTGGCCCTAGGCTATCTCTTGATAGCCAGAACCATTATAGAAGTTCTTAAGGCTAGGATAGGAATGTAGGATCTGGAAAAGGTGGGGAAGACCTTAGTACTATTTCAAAGGAACTTTGCACAGTACTAGAGACAATGTCTGAGAATCATGGTCATCAGAGGGTCTGTCTAGGTCTTGAGGAATGATGATAACAACAACCAATGCAGTAGAGAAGCTTTAACTTGCAAAAGCACCCCTGTTCCCTATCCAGATCCTTAGGAAAGGCTACCAGGTTCAATGGATCATTACTGTTGAAATTTACAAAACTTCCCTATTTTATATATGGATGCACTGAGAATAGGACATAGAGGGTGGCATGGGGGCCACATACATGAAAAGTCTGCAAGACAAAGCCATCAAAATCTTCCTTAACTTACATTTTTAGTTTCTTTTCCTAGACTCTGTTCCCAGCGAGTTGAAATAGAACATGGAGTGTGGATTGCGTTTGGGTCCAGGGTTACTCAGTCTAGGGGTTTGTAACCCACCCTGCAATCAAGTTAATCCAGGGTATCGGAGGGGCGCTACCTGGAAGGGAATGAGCTAAGACAGAAGAAGGAGGCCAAGCAGATTTGTCAAAGCCTCCGTTTATTAGGGAAGGGTTACAGTTTATATATGGTAAGGAATGGGGGGCAGGGCAGGGGATCTTGCCGGCCGCATGGTCCCGGTCACGGAGCTCGGTCAGGTTACATTCAGACGGACAGACCAGGAAGTCACAAGTTGCCACACCTGGTTCCCTGGATAGCTGGAATGTGAGGCGGGTTCCGCTAAGAGATAGCTGCTAATTGGGTGAGGGGCATTCTGCAGACTCCCCAGGGTGATTCCTGTAATGATTTTTAGAGGGGAAATGGCTCCTGACAATGGAGCAGGTTATAATCGGAGTGTGTGGTAAGCAGACTGATGCCTGCATTGCCAGAGGAGGGAAACTGGGAGGGGCTTTGGTAAGCATTCAGCATGGGAAACACAAGAGGACCCTGGGATGCTAAGGGTGGACACAGAGAAGGGAATAGTCCACTGTTCTCCCACATTAAAATTTTTTTAGAATAATTAAAGTAATTACCTTTTGATAAACCTGTACCCCAGGAAGATCATATGTATCCCATCAGGGAATGTTAGTAATTATGGATTGTCACCTTATCAGCCTCACTGAGATTGCCAAGATCACAAAGGAGTTGTAATTCAACTTGCTTTTCTCTTCGTTGCCTGGCCCAGCTTATTCTGGAAGTCAGTCAGGGACAGGGTGGGTGCTGAGATTGGGATTTGCAGTGGACAAAAGAAAAGACACTGATAGTTGCCATGTCAGGATTAATCAGACCCAGGAGGAGGAGGAGGTTGGCACTGAGATTGTCCTGAGGAAGCAGTAAGGGCAGAAAGAAGTTAGCGCTGAACTTGACACCAAGGGGATTTTAGTAGAATCACCTCTTAGGCTAAGAGGAACCTTGAGAGTGGAGGTAAGCTGTCACTTGAATTGCCTGAATTGAAGGCATAAGAGCAGCATCATATAGGCTCTGGAATTGGTTCCAGCAGATTCTGAAATAAACACAAGGTACTTGCTGAGATTGACCTCAGCTAGACCCTGGGAGGAAACTCTGGTGGACACTGGCAGGCTTTGATGGATTGACCATTCATGGTGGTACCCTAGCTTTGGACAGGTAGAGGTAGGTGACGCTGGAACTCCCATGACTGGCATGTTGCTCATCTCATTCTAGGCTGTTGGACTTTGAGACCTGTTGGTGAGAAAGGAAGGGCAGAGAAGAAAGCAGAGAAAAATCTCTTTGTTGATTTTGGAGGATAAAGAAGCAGGGAATGTGATTGGCCTAGGTTTGGCAGGTGGCAGTCTCTCCTTTATCCTTATTACAAGCCTGCACCTGCACCAGCCTGAGCCTGGACCTCTCCTCCCCTGCTGTTTCCACTTGAATAGGAGAAAGGGAACAATTTGGAGAATTTGTTTCTCAGCAGTGGTAGCACTAGGAAGGACCCCAAGGTTTCAGGCAGGCTCCCATGATCTGTACAGGGGGTGGGGGTGGAAGGGCCAGAATGGGAACTGAGGTTGAAAGCTCAAAAGAGATCAAGTGTATTTGCTCTTAATCATTTTTGCGGGCCCATGAATGTTAGAGCAGAAACACGTGGGAGAGACACGGGCACACGAACAAGGGATGGGTGCCTGCTATCACCTGGGAGAGAGATGTGCAAGGGGAAGTACCTCAAGACAGGCTTCCAGAGTGTGATAGTGTTGACACAGAAAATCCCCTTGATGGGCCTCAGTTACCCTTTCTGGTTGAGTGATTAAGAGCAAGGGTAAGGCACAAAATGGAACCCTTACATGGGCAGATACCACCCTCCACCACTTCGCTTCCAGTCAGTCTCCCTAAAATTCTCTCTGCTGTTGTGTGTCCGTTAAGAGCTGACTTCATTGACAAGCTGAATTTTAGGGGTTCAAGGACTGAGTTTATGTACCACTTGGTAGTAAAGTATGAGTTAACACATAAAACCAACAAATATTAGCTATTTTATCCAAGTGTTACTGCAGCTTATTAATCTATAAGAAAAAGGAGATGAATTGATGTTACTCTAAACCTCAATCTCCCTTTGCAATCTCTGGTTTTCATTGTAGCACAGAGAGTAGCACTGGAAGAGCATTGTCAGGTGTTCTCCCCCAGAGTTCTCTGTCCCACACCTTTTAGCACTATGAATGTTAGCCAGCAAGAAGAAAATTTCCTAGTCAAGATTGATTTCTCTATGTCCTGCAGCCAAAGATGGTGTTGTTTTCAGCAACAGGCTCCTAAAATCTAGTTACAGAGGGGTAAGCAAGAACTATAGCAATAGTTTGTCCTGTTTTGCGTGCCTCCAGGACCAGAGGAGGGTGTTTGAGAAATCTCCATTCCCAACACTTATTTACTGAAGTCAATCATTACTACCCTTCTACCTCTGGAGCTGTGATTAGGAAATTTGTTCTGGAAGACTGGTGATCTATTG